GGGCGCCTTCAACCACAGGGTTATAAGGCGCGGGCCGGGTATGCGTCGAGGCCGGACCCAGGGTCCCGGCGCCGGCGGCGCCGCCCGGCGACGCCGCCTCATTTGCGCTTGCCTTCCCAGAAGCCGGGAAGAAGCCCGCAGCTCTGCAGCCCGTAGGGCAGGTCGGCGGCCGGCGGCAGGTAGACCCCGCCGTGGGCGAAGTAGGCGCCGCCCCCCGTGCCGCCGCCGCCGCCGCCAGGCTCCACTCTGCCGGAGCTGATGAGCGAGTCGACCAAAAAAGAGTTCGCGGCGGGGCTCTCCGAGCATGACATTGTTGTGGGATAATTTGGCGAAGGGAGCAGATAGCCCTTTCTGGCTGACATTTCTTGTGCAAAACATGCTGAATACGATTAGCAATCCCCCCGCACCGCGGCGGGCGCCCGCAGCCAATCCTGAGCCAGCGTTGCCGCGCGACCACTCCCAGTTTGATTTCGTAGGCTTGGGGCCGCTCTCCGAGGGCGCCCTCCGAGCCCGCGATTGATATAAATATGTAATCTGTATTGACGGACCGCGAGACGCACACCCAATACCTCAGCCCCAAGGCCGGGAGCTGCGGGGCCGCCCCGAAGTGGCCGGGGTCGGGGGAGGAACCTGGCCCTGAGGCTCGCCCAGCCCCTGCCCTGACTTGAACCCTCTTTGGAACTGTGTTTGCAGGGTCCTGCGGCCCCGCGCTGTGAACCAGCGGGGTGTTTATAGTGCGCACCCTGGCCCGCCTTGGGTGCTCCCCTTCCTTATTCGGAATTTGCCACTAGCTCTCCGTCCACTCTAAACACCGAGGGGTCCTCTCAGGGCCTCAAGCTCTCCCCATTCAGGTCTGGAGCTGTCTCCCCAAAGTGGCAGACCTGGTCCTAGGCCACCAGGACCCTCAGAGTGAGTGCCTGAAGTCCAGAGCGACTGGAAGCTGGCAATTGCCACTTAATTTTTGCATCCCACACAGAATTTCCCCCAAAGTGTAATGCCCTGGCCCCCTGTACTCTCCTCTGCCAGTCTGTGGATCTAGTTGGGCTCTTGGCCTCTGGTGCCCATACCTGGCTTGCTCCTGGGTGGACCTTGGTGGGCTAGCATGAGTGGGGGTTGTGGAAGGAACTGGCAACCTGAAAGATTCCTCCACCCCCACTCTGAGTCCAGGTCCAGGCACCCCCAGCCCCATCACCCTGTCCGGCTCCAAGCCCTTCCAGGGAAGTGAAAGGAACATTGGTCTTCAGGCAGGGTCTCTGGCTTGCCCTGAGGGAGGACCAGGAGGGGAAATTCGGAGGAGGGATGGCCAGCGGACACCTCTGACACAGTATTCTCGAGTTCTCCCTTCAGCCTTGGCATTCGCATGCTCCTGGAGGCTACGTATGACAGAAACCAGTGTCACCACACTCCTGCTCCCGTCCCCTCCCTCCTTCCTCTTCCCCTCCAAACCGGGCCGGAGCAGCCCTCACTCCCGCAGTATACGCATTTTAAGGAGGCCCACGGTGAGGAAATCTGTTCCCTGCGAGGCAGGGCTGGGCTCCTGGCCCAGAGATGGCAGCCTTTGGGGGATAGGCCCTTTGCTGAGCAGACCCCCAGGTCTCCTTCTTCCTTGGCTGCCAGGACCTGCTCTAAGTCAACTGGAAACGGCGGGCCCTTGGCGCTAGCCCCCAAGTGTGGGCCTCATACTGGTCTCAGGAAACTCGACCTTTTCCGGCCGGATCCAGTGGAGCCCGGGAGGTCGCGGCCTTGCCCCTGGCCTGCGGGCTACAGCTCCCCAGGATGCCCCAGGCCTGCCTGCCCCACCAGCTCCAGCCCCTGCGGAGGCCTTGACTGGGGCTGCTGCACGCTGAGATCCCAGGCAGCCAACCGCGCAGGGCTCTGCGCCGCGGGGAGAGACCCTTGCATCCCGGGTGATTTGTCAGGCATGTAGCCTTGTTCTTCCAAGTATAAACCAAGTCCAAGGAGGAAGTGAAGCCGGAGAGGACCCAGGGAGAGCTCTCGGGAGAGCGGGCGACAGAGCCCGAGAGCTGGCTTCTGAGATGCAAGCAGTTGCGGTCTCTGTGGGCAGCAGCTACTGGGAGCGCAGAGCCCCAGAGCCACGCCAACGCTTGCGCTGCGCTCCAACCACTTCCACCTCTGCTACCCGAGGTTACTGACTCTGCGGGCTGGGCATCTGGGACGGAGAAAAGGGAAAGGGGGGAAGAAAGATCGAGAGGGACAGAAGGCGAGGAGAACGGAGGGAGAGGAAAGCGAGAAGGTGATAGAGCAAGCCAGTTCTTCCCAATCTGACAGGGTCTTGAGGCTGCGGCATCCATGCAGCAGAACCAAGTGCGGGAGATTAGGAACTACCCTTCACTCTCCACGTCGCTCTCAGGAACAAGACCAAGGCAAATTCTAACCTGGCGAAGCCCCTGAGGCCCACGAACTTGAGCACAGAAAGGTGTCAGAGCGCCGCAGCCTCGGGCCCTTCTCCGATGGGCCTGGTGCTTGCCCGGCTTGGCTTGCCAGGAGGGTGGAGCTGACAGGACTGCTGTGCTCAACAGTGCTGCGGAGAAATGCCGCAAAGCCGAGGCTACCTGAGCTTGGGCTTTGCCCCTCAGCGCTGTTCATGCCTCTCCGGAAAGCTCTGCCAAGTGGAAAGTAGGTCACAAGAACAAGAGGGGGTTTCTTGAGGAAAACACGAGCCCCATCACGCCAGTGGGCCAGGACTTTGTGCCTTTTCGGACTAGAGGCAGAAAGCGATTACCCAGACCACAGGTTGGGAAGGGCCAATGGCCATAGAATAGATTGCTTGAGAGGGACGGCTAAGAAAATAAAGTGAAAGACTATGATCTAAACCCGTCTTTCTTCACCTTTTTGGAAGTTAAGACCCCTTTGCAAAACTAAGGCCAAGTCCCGCCTCTTGACCTGTGGAAAATGGTAGTCTGTGCATTCCCACAATTTGACCCATCCTTTTCCAGGAGTTCGGAGACCCCTCAAAGCCAAGACCCTCCAGGATGTTCCAGGACTGTCCCGGAATTCAGCGCCCCTGATGATCGGACTGGTCACACAAGCCCGGTGCCCTGTGTAAGCAGCTCTGGCCGGGTCTGATCAGGGCCCGGTAGGGTGGCCAAATGGGCTTCTAGGCTGGATGGGATCCAAGAGCATGCACATGCTGATCCAAGCTACAGAAGTCAGCTTGATGATGCATCTGCTGCAAGAAGGGTCCTGGCTCCTAGACCATGGCATTGGCACTTGGGCCTTCCCAGATCTTTGGGGAGAACTGGATGTTTTTCTCCTGCATCGTTCTTCCACCCCACCCCTTGTAATAAACCAATTGGGATGTTTCCTTTGTGTTGTTTCTTGCTTTATTTTTTTTAAGTGTGTAAACCTGTGTGAGAGCCCCTCTCTGACCCAGGACCACCGCCCAACCCCAAGCTGGGCCTGCAGCGCCGAAAGCCAAAGGAGTGGCTGCGGGTAAGCTTGGGACGCACACTGGCCTGCTGGTTGGAACAAGAAGGTATCAACGTAGCAGAAGCTCAAGTTAAGCCCTCTCAGTCGGTCTGGAGCTCTCAGCATCCCTGACCGCCCCCAAGGCTCCACACTCCCCAGACTGTAACGCCGAGGTGTTAGCTTGCTCAATAGACTATTCCATTTATCGAGCGAGCGCCTCGGCTTCCCTCAGGTGCCCCCCTCCCCCTTCCAGAGATTAAGAAAAGCGATTCAATTGCCGCAAGGCTGGCTGCAGGACACACTCTCTCTGCTTGCCCGTTTGTCTCTCTTCCTTTCCCCCTCCTTCCCAGCTGCTGAATTTCTCCCTCGCCTTCTGGACGCCTTTGACCTAAAACTCGGTGACTGCTTGCTTCAACCAGGCCTGCCAGAGCCCACGTTTTATTTAGGAGTAAACATCGCCTATTTCTACCTGCGTAGTAATACCCCTCCCCCATGGCTGTGGAGCCAAAGTAAAGGCCAGCCAGGCGAGTGGAATAAACCCTTTGGCGATGCAGTTCACCGGACAGCGGATTCCTCCTCCTGAGAAAGCCCTTGCAAACCACCACAAAAATCAAACTGTTATTACAAAAAGTTCCTTAAAACGTACTAGTTCCTGAGGTTGAGATAGGCAGTAAACAGTTTCTATCTGAATGTTTTTGAGACTCAGACCGGCCATAGAGTTGGGCTTTGGCCCACAGAGGAAAAATCAACGCTACGTTCACATATCCGCTTTAACAAAAATTCTGGACTGCTCTGATTCCTGCATTTACTGCAGAATTAGAAAAAAATTTTATAAGCAGTGACATTCTTTTCCACATCATCTTTAGGAATAGTAATATTTCCAGGGATATTTGATGTATTTGCTTTGAATCAATCAGGTGCAAAGCAACCCACTTTTTTTTTTTTTTCTAAATCCAACCACTGAACTGGTCCTGTTCTCCTGATAGGGGGAGTGTTGGGGCCTCTTCACGCACATCCTAAGCTGCAATATTCTTAGTTTTGTCCCTAATAAACTGCCTCTGTCTTTGAAACTCCTGGCAGCTCTGGGATTTTAGGGATGGCTCAGGCTGCAGAGAGTACCGTGTGGGCGCCCACTCCTTGGCTGCCTTATTCTGGCAGACTTTGGGGGCCTGTGCTCAACAAAGACGAGTGACTTTGAAGGTGAAAATTTACACATATGTACACACACACACACACACACACACACACTGGCAGCACTTACTTTCTTTAAGATTCCCCCGCTCACCCATGCACTGCATGCTTGTGAAAAAAATAACCAGCTCAAGAAACCATGTGAAAACATATTGGAATAAAGATGTTAATACAGGGAAAGAGGGAATTTGAATCTGCCCTCCAAAATGTAAGTGAAATGATTATTTTGAAATTGTTTTATGACAACCCTGATGGAGGGATGGTTGACCCTAGCTTGTCCTCAGTGCCAGCTTTTTAAAATATACAGGCATTTGCCAGTACAATGGTCGCATCCTTGCAAAATATTCAAAAGATCTCAATTTTACATCTAAGAAATTGCTGCAAAATCCCAGCCAGGTTTATAGCGGTACCGTCCAAATAAGTGGCATAGACTTATCTGGAAGCCTTGAAAATCAAATGCCACTTTTCTGAATTGGCCTTTTGGGGAACAAAGGTTCCCCCCTGGCTGCTAGGCAGACCTAGAGACCGCACCTAGGTGGAAACCAGCGACCACCGCCGTCTGCCCCAGGGAATAAGACCGCCCCAGCGACCACGGTTGCTGACCACCTCATTGTTTGAGTAGAAACTTTCTGTTTTCCCCAGTCCCGCCATCTCTTTCTCCCCAACACAAACCCCTGTTCCAGCACCGCCCAGACTCTTTCTCTTAGATGCCCCCCATCCCTGGCTCATCCATTCTGAATACTTTTACAAAATGGAAGGATTGCCTTGGGTTTTTAGCGGCGCAAGGAGCTGAAATCGTCAACTTTCCCACTTAGGCCTCCCCTCTCCAACCTTAGGGAGCTAGGCGGAGGTAGGTGGGCTGACCACCTATAGCGTCACCCCGGAGCGCACAAACCCAGCCACTCTCCCCTGCCCTGCTCAAGCATCGGCCACCTCCCTACTCCCGCCCCAGCCCGTTTGAAATCGCTAAACTTGTGGCCTCTTACCTGGACACATTTCCGAAGAAATCCCTGCCAAGGGACAGCTGGCTTCTCCGCGCCAAGAACGCCCGCGAGGCCTAGAGAAGGCGCGTTGCTTTAAATGACAGCACCAACCACATCTTGCAGGAGAGCACCCCTTTTTTGAGATGAAAGGGAGCGGGACAAGTGAAATAATGTAACGTGCAGCTCTTAGTATCAGGAGCGAACAAAGGCCAAGAATCGCGCTGGGGTTCCCGGCTCCCCGGCGGCTTTGACATTGATCGGAAGTGCGCCATCTCGTGGCGGCTGAGCGCCTACGCCGGGCCCGAACTCCGACCCGAGCCGGGAGAGGGAAGCAGGCTCCAGGCAGAGACAGCGAGAGAGAATGTGCCCAGCCCGCTGCTAAAGAGATCTCACTTTTACATCTAAGAAATTGCTGCAAAACCCCAGCCGGGTTTATAGCGGCGCATTCCAAATATGCAAATTGGCCGGCCCCGGACGGGTTTACGACCACATTGTCACAGCCATCGGAGGATGGGCTTTTATAGGGCTCAGAAATCAAACCCTCGCCCGCTCGCCGCCCGCCCGCGAACAGTCCTTCTGGCTAGACTCTCTCTAGCAACTTGGGAGACTCTGGTTAATCTTTAACCATCCCAAAGGAAGTCTTTCCTTAAACCTTGGGCTTCCCTGCCCACCCCCTCCCTGCCCCTCTGGAGAGGCCTTGTTCACCTCTGTGTCTGTCTATCAACCTAGACATTCATCTCCGGGGTCTGTCCCACTCCCCTTTGAGCTCGAGGTTCCCAGTCGCGCCAGTTCGACAAACACACAAACAGATAAACAAAGCGGGGCCTGGGGCCCCTCTCCAAATTGGGTCCTGTCTGCTGCTCTGGCCCTGCCTGGGTGGCTAGGGAGAGGGTGGGGTGGGGGTGGGGTGGCAACAAAAGGCTCTGGCCTCTCCGCCCTGCCCCTCAAGGTTATGGTGATGGTGATGTCCAATTTTAAGGCAGAAGTTCAAAGGCAGGAAACAAAGAAGAAGCGAAGAAGCGGCATCTTTCTTTCCCCAAAGGGAAAAGGCAATGTCAGCTGGGAGCTGGCGAGAAAGCACCCTTAGAGACTCTGAGAGTCTGCTCTGTCTTTGTACCCAGACCCTTCTCCCTCTTGCTGAAGGGTTCCCCAGGGCACCCTACAGTGGTTCCACTTCAGTCCTGCTGGTCCCGAGGTGAGGGAGCCCAGCCTGGGGTCAGATCCACTGACCACGTAAGGCCCAAGGTTTTCTCTCAGGGCTGGGGCAGTCAGAGGATGAACCCCCATATTCCAAGTCCTGACATACCCTATTCCTGGGACCCCATTTCCTCAAAGGACCTGGCCAGTCCCTTGGCTTCCTAAGCCTGGCTTCTAGTGGAATTAAATCCTAAGTCACTTCCCCACCCCCTCAGGGGCCTGGTAACTTGCCCCTTCCTTGGTGTGTGTGTGTGTGTGTGGGGGGGGTGATGGGTAGACATTTGGCAGTAAAAGGTGAGCAAGGAGAGAAATGTCACACCAGGACCCAATGCTCAAGTTTCCACAGTCTTTATTTCCCTTGTGCCCTGTCGCTTGTATACATGCTGCGACATCCGCGATGGGCGAGAACAGAGGACAGGCCAACACTTACAAGCAGAGCCACCAGACGCTTCTTAGCACAGGGAGGCAGGTTCAATGGGCGGGGGCCCGGCTTTCTCAGCTGAGGTCCCCGACACTGTGGGGCAGAACTACCTCAGGGAAAACCCCCAATGCTTTCAAAATATTGCAAGAAATTAAAAAGACCCTTCCCAACCCCCTTCCTGCCCCCTCTTACACCCCAGAGGAAATCAACTAATGGCAAAAAAAAAAGTATTCAAACAAAATAGGTTATGGTTTCTTTATTTACAAGTCTTTTGAACACCATCCCTGTATGAAGCGTACATTCAAATATTCTTAGCAGTGAGTGAGTTTAACCGTGGAACACTGTAAACAGATAGAGCCTTTAAATATTTTCATCATCTTTTTCTCTCTCTACATTGCATCTTTTAAAATTTGCTTTGGTTCCTGCAGGGAAATATATATATAATATAATATTTATCTTTTAAAATAATTCCAAATCACTCTTGAGCTCTTGGAAGGTCGCTGGAAGCTTCCAAGCTCAGTTCCGGGGCCTTGAAGGGTAGAGTGTGGCGCTGGAACCGGGTGTTTTAGGGGACTTGCGCCCCTCATAGCTGAGGACTGCTGGCCGGGCCGGCTCCTCTGCTGAGCAAATCCAAGCTTCCATTAAGTGTGGCAGAAGCTTTGCCAAGCTGCTGCACTCCACAGGCATTTCCTGCAGAGATGTAGGGGCCAGCGCCTGGGCACAGCCTCTCTGCTTTTTGATGTCTTCCACCTTGGGGAATAGAATACTCTGCAAGCAGGCTTTAGGTCTGCCTGAGCGGAGGCCAGGGCGAAGACCCTCTTAGCTAGGAAAAACTAGGTGGGCTGCAGGAGGCAACTGCTAAGAAGCTCAGGATTGAGACAGTGCGGTGAGTGGCTAGGAGGAGTGGAGGGCCACTAATGCCACCTGGAATCGTAGGGTTTTTTGTTTTCCCTCAAGGATCAGCAGCCCTCTCCCACCTCACAGCCACCTTAGTCCAGTCACCTTTCAGGCCGGCTCTGGAGAGCAGCCCCATTTTGGACATCTAGGCGCCCTCCCCTTTTCTCCTGCTCCTGTCCCCAAGCTGAACTGGTTTTGGAGATGGACTAGCTTCTTGATGCCTGGGGGGTGGACAGGCTCCAAGTGGAGGGTCCTGGGTGGGGGTCGATCTCCAAGGGGCCTGGCAGGGGGCCCAGTCCCTGGTGGAGACCACACCCAGCCTGAAGCTCCGCAGTCTCCAAGAATGAACCACCAGGGGTCCCAAACCATTCATCCTAGTTGCTGCACAATTCTCTGAATCCAATCATTGTTAGGAATCTTAACCACAGATGCCCAAGAGAGCCCCGGGCCGCCTCCTTGGAGGCTATCTCCCTGTAGTGGCCCCTCTCTTGCACACCTCCTCTCTTCCAAAGTCACTGTGTGGTGTGCCTTGACCTGGTCAAGGGCAAAATCTGCATATAATCTCACGCGTATGAAGCCCCCCACCCGATTCCAGCTGGCTGGAACCTTAGAGGAGTGGGTTGGCCGAGTAATACTGTAACCGGTCTCTGTTAATTTTTTTTTCCTTCATTCTTCTATTCTGAAACCAGATTTTGACTTGACGGTCGGTGAGGTTGAGCATGCGAGAGAGCTGCAGGCGCTTCTCTTTGTTGATGTACACGCTGAAGAAGAACTCCCGCTCCAGCTCCCGGATCTGGTACTTGGTGTAGGGGCAGCGCTTTTTTCGGGTGCGCTGGCCACCTGTGGAGGGAGGAGGAAGAGGCAGGGAGTGAGTCAGGTGTGGGGGCTGCAACCCATCCCAGAGCCCCCAGAGGAGGAAAGGGGCTGGCCCCAGGGACTGGAAGCCCTGCCCAAGCCCCTTCAGGGTCTCCCCAGACCCCTACCTTCAGGCTTCTCCTGTGGTCTGGGGACTGGATGCAGGCGGAGGCTCAGCCCCAGATAAAAGCCAGCTCCCTAGATAGGCCCCCAGGGAGGCTGCTGAGGCTGCCTCCAGAGCAGAACGAGGGCTCCTCACAGCAACAGGCAAGTTTGAGCCGGGAGGCCGCTTTCAAAGCAGCTGAGTGGGGGCTGTGGGCCGCCTCCAGCCTGGCCAGACTAAACAAACAGCCACCCAAGGACATTTCACCTTCCAGCACCTGGTGGCCGGTTGGGAGGAGGCTGTAAAGGCAGCCCGGGCCCTAGGCTTCCCGCTCATTAACATCTGGGGCGGCTGCCGGTTCTTTGTCAGCCCGAGTCCCGGCTCTCAGCTCCTGGCTCCTGGGCCAGCCTCCTGGCCTCCAGGTCAGGAGAAGGCGGTGGGAGCCCCTACCCTGGGCCTTCTCAGCCCAAGGCCACACAGCCATCTGGTCCCCCCAGGGCAGGGCTGCTTGCTTAGATGGGGTGGAGGGAAGAGGGGTTCCCCAAGCGTCGGGAGGGCAGGCTCCACCGGCTCCCCCTTGGGGGAAACCTTCATGGGACCTAAAGAAAAACCCGCTTTTGACAGACCAAACAGCGATTGTGAGTAACAAGCGGCTGGACAGGAGGCGGCACGTAATTGCCACCGCGCAGGAGGAAAATGGCTTCCTTTGGACAAAAAGGCCAACTTTGGGTTAATTTGTTTCTGTTAATATATTGCTCGAGCTAAGCGGGCTATTTTATCAGTGCAACACGCTTCCCGCGCCATCGTTAAACAGCGACGCCTTTGAATCCCGGCCCGGACTGGCGAGCCGGCGCAACACATGGTTTTTATAAAAATCTCCGGATTACCTCGCTATCAAAGGCTCCCGGAGCCCTCGCAGGGGGAATTTACAGGCGCCCACCTCCGGCTCCGCAGCCCCTGCTGGCCCCGCGCGGGGTCGAGCTGCCGGGCTTGGGCGCGGAGCAGGGGAAAAAGGGAAAAAAGGGAGGGTGTTTTCTCGCAGGCATGCCTGGGCCGGTGGGTATTTCACGGCCAATTTCAGCACTCGCCACGTGATCCCGCCTTTTATAACGAAGTTTTGTTGGGGGAAACCTAAAGGCCCTTCATAAACCTTATATGCTTATAAAACAGCATATAAAAATTTAACAGCGGCGCTGCGCTAGGTTTCCAGCTCCCCTCTCCTAAGGCGCAGGGCCCTGCCTTTATACGTACTGGAGCCGCCGGCCCTGTCCTCAGTGTGGCCGGAAGACGACTCGGGGCTGCTGTATAACATTCTCGGGGCGTCAAAGCCGCTGCTTCTCCTCCGCCACACCGCCGCACATGGCGGCAGCGGGGGTCGGGACCGAACTTGAGGTAGCCGAGATGCCCTTGGCCCCCGCGGCACCCGCAGCCGCATGCGCGGAATACGCTGCGACGACCGGGGCCCCTCTGTCGACGGCTCTTGCTCCCCGTGAACTCGTCGGAAGCGAGGGTGCCACGTGGTGCCGAAAAGCAGGCTCGAAAAACTGGCCGAAAGACGGCGAAAGGACGACGTACCCTGCCACCGGGCTCTGAGAAAATG